TTGGCGACTCCACTGGGGATTAAGCTGGTTATTATTATTATTATTATTATTATTATTATTATTATTGAATATTTTTATTGTAATAAAGGTGGTTGTGGTGTGGTGGGCATGAGTCAAGTCTTTCAGTTTGAATTATTATCCTTTTTAATTTTGTTATTTATTTATTCTTTATAATATCATATTCCTTATAATGAAAATTATTATTCCTCCAGGGATTTGAGTTTCAATGATATATCTGGACAAATTCTAGACTCGCTTTTCAATTTAAGTTCAATAACTCATTTGTAAGATATGATCTTTGTCTAGTTACTTTTTCCATATGCCTCCTAAACTCACTTTATTATGTCGAAACATGTGTTGATACTTCATTATTATTTAGGTTTCTCGGAAATAACAAGTTGAATGGCACTCTTCCTACACAAAAAAGTCCATCTCTTCTCAATATGTAAGAGCATCTGACATCTTTCCAACCAGCATGAATATCATTATCACTAAGAAGCAAAATTATCTGATAGTGGTTATTTAGAGTTAAGATCCTCTTACGCACAACTCTTACACACATCATTTACAGAAAATTTTAAACATTCATCTCTCCATCATGAATGGTTGAGATTTATCACAATTTTTGGGATGAAAAAGAAAATTATCTTTAAAAATAGGATAAAAAGTGGATAAATTTCAACCATTCATATTTAAGAGATGAATAGTTAAGATTTGATTTAAGTGATATATGTAAAAGTTGTTTGTAAGTAGATCTTAACTCATATATATATATATATATGGATATCAATCCTGAATCCAACAGTTGGTTTTCCAAGATATTGGAGTAGGGTGCTTTTGAATTAGGGCTTGATAAATATGCACTATTTTTTCTATCTATATATAGAAGGACACACAATTATTACACATACCATTAATCTCTCTAGTATGAATGGTTGAGATTTGTCATGACTTTTAAGATGAACAAAACAATTATCTTTTAAAAAATAAGATAAAAAGCAAAAAAATCCCAACCATTCATAGTGGAGAGATGAATGGTCTAGATTTTGCATAAGTGATATGTAAGAGCTCTCTATAAGGGCCGTCTGTAAGGACCATATATGCCCAAGTCCCTTCTTAGCATTATGCTATCTTAAAGGACTTTTATTCCCCTTTTATAAAATGCCATGGCTTGAACCCATTTTGACATCTACCTTTATTCAACCCTTTTCTCCCCTTCTCTGTTACCAAGGTATGAAAGCCAAATTCTCATTCTTCTCTAGCCTATTATGTATCATTCCACTAGGTCTACACACAAGGGGGTTGGGTGGAGTGGGAAAGTCCCACATTGATTAACTTTGAGATAAGATGTGGGCTTATAAATAAAGTGGGCCTCTGCACCTATTTCTAATTGGTCATAGGTTGGATGCCTTAAATGCTCTAAAAGCCTTTGATTCTAGTCTTTCCTTTGTTCCCTTCCAAAGTAGGAAAGTTGGCATAGTCAGAGGCAGAAAATGGCCTTGTCTTGATGAAGTATGGTCCAGGATGCAAATTACTTTAAATTTTCAAATAATAAGTGTGTTACAAAGAAAAAATAAATTTAAAATGAATATTTCTATTGAGAAATGTTGAAAAGTTTGCTCCATTCTAGTTGCTTAATGGTTTTAACTAAACAAGCACTAGGATGATAAATTGAAAGTCATAGTCAAACTCAAGCTCCATGTATGAATAAAAATGTTACAAAACTTCCTTATGTCTACAGTTTTTTCTTTTTTTTTTTTACATCCAATGATGAGCTATACAAAAAGAGATAGGTCTCCCCTATTTCCAAATCCCTTCCTCCCCAACTCAAGGTTCAAATTTGAGATCTCCAAGTTGGAATCTCAAACTCTTAAATGGTTGAGCCACACCCCTATAGGCTCCTTGTGTCTGTAGTTTGCTTCATGTTTATACTCCACTTAGGGAAGTAGAACTGTCATTTTTGGACAATATAACCATGATAGATTGCTCTACTTGCACAAAATTTGTATGTGGAATATATTAATTTGATTTAATTAAAACTTTTCAGTTCATTAGGAAAATATAAAACTAAAGGGGGACTTACTCTGGGCAGGCCTTCTCTGCACCTTTTGGGTTGGTGAAAGAGTGCTTAGTGCACAGGTGTCTATCTTAGTAAAAATGCCTTGTCCAAAGGTCGTAATCATGTACTTACATGCATATATTTCATGGGAAAAGTAAATAAATGAAGGTTTTGGATAATGTTAGAAATGTCTTGATTTAATGGTGGTTGTGATTTAATTCATGCTTGAGCTCAGTACTGTCAATTGTGGCCAAGAAAACTTAGTGCTGTTCAGGGTGTTGTTCATGATTTTGCTAGATTATGCACTAAGCATTCTCGTGTCTTTGTGCTTGTAGTGATGTATCATACAATAATTTAGCTGGGAGTTTTCCTTCTTGGGTTAGTGAACAGATCTTGTCACTGTAAGTCTTCTTTAGGGTTATATTTTCATACATAATATACTTGAAAAATCAATTTTCACAATTGTGTTTTCTTTCATACTCTTCCCATCAACTTGTCGCCTTTACATTTTGAGGTGTACCAAAAATTTGTCAATTTGATAAAGTGAAGTTCTAATTTGTTTAATTTTTACAAAATTAGCCATTTGATTTTAAATCTCTTTCACCGGAATGGTTTTAAAAAGGTCCCTTTTACTTGGGATGAGTTTTTGAAAATAATAATTCCATCAGCCATGTGATTACAATAAATGATGTTTCTCTAATAAGGTTTCAACTACAAAGTTTGAAATGCTAATTTAATATGCTAGACCAAGGAAGTGTTTATATTTTAGAATTTGTTGTTAATATCATTTGCATTTTTCTAAGAAAACATAATTTGCTAGCTCTTTGGGTATTATAAATGCCCATAATCATAGAGAAATTCCAGTTTGCAAAATGGGTTTGCATCAAACCTACAGTTACATGGTGAAACTAAATAGTTATCTTTATGTCGTGTAATATGCAGAAATTTAGTTGCCAACATCTTCACCATGGAATCTTCAAACAACAGGTAATTCTCTCTATTGTATTTACCTGTAAATGCTTTTGAAGCCAATCCCTTAGCTATTTTCTCTCTAATCCAATGTACTTTCTAGTTGTGTTTTTATCAACTAGCTTATTTGATCATGGGCCATAGGCTGCTAAAAGTGATGTTACTGCTTTTCACAATAGACTATAATCACTATTTACAAAGCTTTCACAATGCTAGTGTGCTGTGTTGTAATTTTTGTTTTTTGGAATGCAACTTTTGTCAAATTATTTTTTCTTAAGAGGAAGAGAGAAGAATCAAGTGAATTCATAGTAATATACATCCTTTCCCTTTGAGCTCCCTCTCCTCTTTTAGTCCACAAACACAATATAAATAAATAAATAAATATTGGAAAGAGAATGGAAGATCAGTATTCATTTCATGAATCTGGAAGATGTTTTCTATGTGGGTTTTTAAATGGTTAAATTGTAAGTGTTACTGAACTTGTAATTATGATACTTGTCCTACTGCATTCTTCTTCTACTTTTAGTGGCTTGCCATCAGGACTCAATTGTCTTCAACGGAATTTTCCTTGCAATCGTGGTTCTGGAAGATGTAAGTACCGTTAAAACTTCTATCTTTGTTTATGAAAATGGAATTGAAGCTAGAATATGAAAGGATCTTTCCTAGTTGATTTATTGACCGAAAATTGAATTCTAAATCATTGTTAGTTGGGATGGATTAAAAATTGCAAGAATCTCTTATCATTATTTTGCAGTTAAAAGCCATTAAAGGTAAGGTAAAAACAAGTATTAGATCAATGCATTTAATTCTCAAGATCGTGGAATTGAGTGGTAGGTGATTGGAAAAATGTGAAGAGAGGCACATCTTATCTGTAAATCCAGAGGTGTGTTACCAAATAAGCCATCACATATGCATGGTAGAACAACCACATACTTTTTGGTACATGGAGTCAACCTAAAACCTTTGGCACATCTTATCTGTAAATCCAGGGTTATATCTCTCTTATTGGGCCTTTTGATCCGTGATTGCATATACTGTTGATAGGTCAAGTTTCTAACCTTCGGATCAACCACATCTTTTGGGAGGCTTGTCTTATTTATTGTCCAAAGGTTTTCAAATTAAATTGAAATTGCCAGTTACCAAAAGCAAATTGGGTATAAGAGAGATATAACTCGAGGAAACAAAGTGTCTTTTTTTTTTTCATTACAGAAGAATTTTCACAGGTTTAACCTATTTTACTTTTTCGTATAACATCTATTAGGTCATAGGCTGGCCTTCTGTGCTGGGATAGAAATAAACTAGCTTTACAAGAAATGGATCCAACCCCAAAAAAAGTATACTTTTGTGGTTGTAAAATCCAAACCGTTAGATAAGCACTTTAGGAATTTGATCTAGAACCCTAAAAAATTTAGAATTTGATGAGCATTGTAAAGTCAAGCATGTAAATAGATCAATGCACTGGAGTTAGGAAACCTTTCTCCTGAGTTAAATTATTGAATCCCTCTTTCGTTTTGTTCTACAGATTATAACTTTGGAATTAAGTGTGGTGGTCCAGAGATTAAATCCTCCGATGGAATTGTGTTTGAGAGGGATAATGAGATTCTTGGCCCGGCCTCATATTTTGTGACTGACACAAATAGGTGGGCGGTCCGTAATGTTGGATATTTTGTTGGGAACAATAATCCTCAATATACCAAGAAGTCATCATCTCAATTTACAAACACTCTAGATTCAGAGTTGTTTCAGACAGCACGAATCTCTGCTTCCTCACTAAGGTACTATGGATTGGGGCTCGAGAATGGCAATTATACTGTGAGCCTCCAATTTGCAGAAATTCAGATTGATGATTCTACCACATGGCAAAGTCTCGGGAGACGGATTTTTGATATATATGTCCAGGTGTGTATATTTCTGGAATCTGTAACTGACCATGATTTAACACATTTAATGAATTGCTTTTAGAATACCTTGGATAATGACTTTTGAATTCCTAAATTCCTTGATTCAATTATCCCTGCCATTTATAAAACTATCTCCCAAATAATTATTGCCACTGGCTCTTTAGAACCTTTTTGTTTTCTGGATCCTGAGCAATTTCTCAAATAATTGTTGAAATTATAAAAATTTTCAAATCTCAGCTACGATTTGGTTTAAGAGCAGTGACTGAAATTTTGGTTAATTATATTTCATTCCTTTCTTATAAGAATGACATTTTCCTTATCTTCATTTTCTGCTTAAGTTTTGACTCAGTTCATTACAGGGGAATCGTGTTTTTAAGGATTTTAACATACTGAAGGAGGCAGGTGGTTCCTCTAGACAAGCTGTTAGGAAAGATATTACAGCCCAGGTGTCTGAAAACTACCTTGAAATTCATCTATTTTGGGCTGGAAAGGGGACTTGCTGTATACCATTTCAAGGCACATATGGACCTTTGATTTCAGCAATCAGTGCTACTCCAAGTAGGATAATTTACAATTTTTCTTGATTTTGTTCTTTATCCTTTCATATAAGTGTAGTATGGTTGATGGTTGACTCATGAGTCTATATACAGATTTCAAACCTTCTGTTAGTAATAAGCCTCCGAGCAGCAGCAAGAACAGAACTGGTCTGATTGTAGGGGTTATTGTTGGTGTTGGAGTTGTCAGCTCTCTGTTTCTTGCAGCATTCTTCATTTTTGGGAGAAAGCCAAAAACCAATGAAGATGAAGGTGGGCATGAAAATCCTGTTTCATATGCATTATACCGTTCTAACTACTTATTTTGTAGTGGTGCATAGAAAACTTCTTTTAGACATGCGTGGTTCTATTCTTGTCACGGTTTTGCAATTAGTGTTTGTTTGCAATATTCATCTTAAGTGTTGTTATGAAATGCTTTCTTGTTCCACAAAAAATTTTCACTTTTGATTTTTTTAATTTCCAATGCATTCTCAAAATCCCAATGGAAAATAATTTTTAGATTTTTTTTTACTCTTTATGTTATTTTTCAAACATCAGTGTGCAGTGTTCCTTTGTTCCCGAGGAAGAACCCTTATATGCAGCAAGTGAGCAACATTCTTTATTTTCCATCGTAAGACCCAAGATGTTAAAATATTTCAAATGCTTTTGTAGCCAATTGTCAACTTTGACCAGAGAAAATTATAAATATGCATCTTCAAGTAAAACATTCAGTGAGGGCAAGTATTCCAGCCCATGTTTTCTCATAAAAGTTCAATCATGTGTATGAACATCCTGTTTCCTTCAGTAACCATTGTTTCGTTGGACATGCAGAGCTCCAAGGAATAGGTGTCAGACCATATACCTTCAATTATGCTGAACTAAAATCTGCTACAGAGGATTTTAATCTGGCAAATAAGCTAGGAGAGGGAGGATTTGGACCTGTCTATAAGGTAAATTGTTGTTCTAATTAATGACTGACATGGGGATTAAGACATCAGGTACATTCAAAATATTTATCAGATAAGAAGAGCGGGGTTTCATTTCATATATTCATGGTGGCTGCCAACCTATGATTAACAGATTGCAATTAATTTTTTCATATAACATTTATTAAGAATGAGTTGTACCCTTATTGTTTGCATTTATTGGTTGGGGGCTGATATTATTATCATAATTGGGCATACTAATATGAGCATGCTTTACAGTACTATTTTTTATAACTTGTTCTCTAGTGCAAATAGATATAAATTTTGCTAAAGATAACTGAACACTGATGGTTCTAGGTATTAGTTTTGATGTAGGGAAGGAAGTAGAAGAGATGAAGGCAGAGGAAGAGAGGGAAATAGGGAAGAGAACTTGAGGAAATATATAGGAGAGGGAAAGTACTCAATTGAGTGAAATCATAAATATAACTTATGATAATCCATAAGAATACAATCGTAATGGTCTAAAAACCCTAATTCTTGTTTTATAAGGAATCTAAATAAAGAGACAACTAACTGTAAATGAAATTCTAATTGAGAAAAGGAAGCTGACAACCAAAATGGTTGGGTATTGTAGCCCTGATGGGTCAGAAGATATGGAGAAGTGCTTGAGATAATCAGATTGATTCAACTTTCTATCCCTTAATTCAGGGATCCAATGAGTGAGATGGGACACGATGGGTTATTCCTCACTTTTTGTTGTAGCCTGTAGGAATAAATAATGAGGCTGGAGTCTGGAAGTCGATTTAACTATAAAACTAGTGAATAAATCAGACAATATACAGAATCTTAATGTGCTGGGTTAGCAAATTCGAGGTTCACATATTAAACTGACTTGATATGCACTGGCTAAAATATGGAACTGAGTTTTTCATCTGGTCTAATGATAACACAATTAGTTTGGTTTTATGGCACAACATTGAGAATTTAATGGATGGAGAAAGCAAAATTGGTAACTCTTGCAGATAAAAAGTTTTTTTTCCAGGGAAATAGTAGGGATTGGGAACATCGAAGACAAGAATTCTTTTTATTTGGATAGATTGTATTCTATTATTAACTTGAATCTTTTGTTACCTAGGGAAAACTTAATGATGGGAGAATCATTGCAGTGAAGCAATTGTCTGTGGCATCACGCCAAGGCAAGAGCCAGTTTGATACAGAAATAGCTACTATATCTGCTGTGCAGCATCGCAACCTTGTCAAACTACATGGTTGCTGCATTGAAGCAGATCAACGCCTGCTTGTTTATGAGTATCTTGAAAACAAGAGCCTAGATCAGGCACTATTTGGTATGAAAATATTGCAATGCAACGAAATGTTTTTCTTTCTAGTATGGAAACATGGCATAGAATTACTTATGGCTTTAATGGAGCAGGAAAAGGAAGTTTGAATCTGAACTGGCAAACACGTTATGATATATGCTTGGGAGTAGCTAGGGGTCTGGCTTATCTTCATGAAGAGTCAAGGCTTCGAATTGTACACAGAGATGTGAAGGCCAGTAATATTTTGCTGGATTCTGGTCTGATCCCCAAGATTTCTGATTTCGGTCTAGCGAGACTTTATGATGATACAAAGACCCACATAAGCACCCGTGTTGCTGGGACAATGTATGATTTTCAAGTTTGACATCATTAATTCTTCTCAACAAGTTCATTTTCTTTCTTTCTTCTTCTTCTTCTTCTTCCTCCTTTTTTTTTTTTTTTTTTTTTTGGGCCATTAATTTTCATGTCGTTTTATTCCTGTAATGTATGACTAATAGATTGTCTCTGTTGCTACTTATGTAGTGGGTATCTTGCACCAGAGTATGCAATGCGTGGACACCTTACTGAGAAGACTGACGTGTTTGCCTTTGGTGTTGTGGCTCTAGAAGTTGTCAGTGGGAGACCTAATTCTGACTTGAGCTTGGAAGGAGAGAAGATGTATCTTCTTGAATGGGTATGAGATATATCTTTCTTTTACCAATTTTCAATTTGATCCTTCTTTCTTTAGGCAAACGTTGATCTATTAAAATATTCAATTGCTACCGAAAGTGCCATATTATAAGTTAACTACGCCCATACTTTCGAAAGTGCATTTATTTGTATTAATTTTCATGCCATGATGCTAGAAGAACACGAATGTATGCTTTCTAGTGAAAAGTATGGTTAAATATACAGTGCATAGTAATATTTAAATTCTGGAAACATTCTTTAACGGGGTAATCTTCCCCCAAGCATTCACACCGTTTTCTATTTTACTTTCAGTAGGTTTCATGACCTAATCCATGTGCTATAGGAATAAGTTGGAATAACTGTTTATCAAACTACTAAGAACATTCATCCAAATCCTATATAAGATCAGTTAGAATGTCAATGTATAGTCATTTGAATTTCAACCAACTTAAAATGGCAGGGAAGAAAAACAACTTAAAATGTATTTTACACCTTTATTCCTTTGCTTCTTGATTTTAGTTGTATGTCTACTTTCCATTTACTGTGCAATTTATCCATCCCTGTTCCACCATGATGTGTTATTTCCATTCTGCCTTTTAGGCTTGGCACCTATATGAAAACAACCGTGAAGTTGAACTAGTTGACTCTAATATATTAGAATTTGATGAAGAAGAAGTGAAAAATGTCATAGGACCCTTTTGTGCACTCAGACAATTCCAATGCAAAGGCCATCAATGTCTCGTGTGGTGGCTATGCTTTCTGGAGATACTGAAGTGAGCAGAGTAACTTCAAAGCCTGGATACTTGACTGGGTGGAAATTTGATGACACAACAAGCTCTATGAGTGATCAAGCTACAAGAGCAGCTGATACCAGCAATAATACCACATCAACAAGCACAAGTATGGTGGCTGACGTAGATAACCTGCCAGAAAAGGCTACTAAACCTATGCTTCATAATATTTTGGGATAGGGCAGGTGATTTCATAATCCTATCCATTCATCTATTCTTATTCTTGATTACACAGATTGTATATTATTGTAGAATTTGAGTGGCAGCCATTTTCTGTACGAGTTTTCTGTTGTTCCTCAAATCAATTTAGTTTCTGTTAAACCATACAGATGGTGAATATCAAGGCCATGTCTAAGGTGAATAAAAATATGAAAATCTTGAGAAACTAGTTGATACTGAACATCATTTTTGTGATTTGGTGCTGCTTGTTTTCGGTTTTTGTAATATATAATGCTAAATCTTTTCAAAAGGGCCAAAGTTGCACACTTATGGTTTTTTTTTTCTTTTTTTTTTTTCGCATCAAATACTGTGCTATACAAATATAATGAAGGATAATTTTCTCTTCCTTTATCTTAAAATTTGAACTTAAAATCTTTAATCAGATGTCTCAAACTGTTTAGCACTCGAGACATTCCGTAATGGGCATTGCCTACTTATGATATGTAGACTCAATTTTATTAGATGAGTAAATATTCAATAGTTGTTTGCTGACACGAGGGTTGGTAGCCGGATTGAATATCCTTTTTCTTTGCCAAACTTCTGTAGGCAATAATGGAGAACCTGCAACCATAAATTTCTGTTAATTACAACAACTGAATCACATCTTCCAATCAATTTCTGGTGAATCCTGGGGTACAGTATAAAATTCCATCTAGTACAAGAACTTAAATCACGTTTTCCAATCAATTCTGGTAAATCTTAGATTTTTTAATCAGATTATTTTGTTTTTACTTGATTCAAATTACGCCTTAAAAGAGAAGAAAAAGAAATCACAATTGTCTTAGTATTGTTTGGCAAACAACTTTCCGAGAAATCATTCTTCATGGAAAGTTTTGCTTCCGTGGGCATTTTTGATTTTCCAGACCTTTCCATGTAAGGTGTTCTTTGATTCTTTCTCATTCCTACCTTTGTCCAAGAAATGGACGAAGGTATTAGAATGATACAATTTAAACATAAATTTTAATGCTAAATAAGAAGACAGCTAAAAGAAACAAGCACTTGATAGCATAAAGTGATTGATTATTGCAGGTGAAAATCCCACCAATTATTTGTTCACATCACAATGTCACACCAGATGTCAAAGATCTTGAGATATCTTATGCCAAAGGACACCTCAAGAATTGATACAAGCAAATAGAACCAGGGGAACTAGGTCCAATTTATTCCTCATCTTCTGCTTCTTCCAGCCTGTTCACAAAGGGTTCCATGGCCTTGACAAATGTTTGCCTGTGCCAATTTTCAATGGATTAAGATGATCAATACACAGAAACAGAATGTTCAAACAGAAAAAGAAGGAATAGAATGGTTTATTACTGAGCGAGCAAGAAAGTGAAATACAGTAATTACTACGAAGCTCAACCACCATCATAATTCTCAATATTATGATACCAAACATGAATATGAACCTGCTTACCTGCCCTTAGGGCTCATTCCATTGCGGAACCAGTGAAGAATGGTGTCTTCTGCAAGCACATCCTGGTCATAGAGAGACCTTATGATCTTGGGGAACAGCTTCATCAGCTTGGCATCCTCATAGCATTGCATCTGAACTCTGTATATGAGTTCCAGCTCAAGTTTTCCACTGGTACAAAAGGTATTTAAAAGTTTTGCCCATGATTTGACCTGTAACAATGGAAGGAGAGAGAAAGCCCAGCATTACTTTTCTTAAAATTCATGATTAACTATTTGAAATATACTCATTTTAAAGTTCACAAAATCACTTTACTACTAGAAGGGTAATTCCAGTTTAGCCTGCACCAGTAATCCAAGTTTTGTGTCTTTACAAGTGCCCCATTTAACAGATGAAGGAAAAGCAACGGGATTGGTACAGGCAAAGTAAGGCAAGAAGCTAAATCTGACCTGTCGCAGAGCCGCATTAGCATTCTGCTGCTGGTTCTTGTCAGACCACTGAACAGCATCCATTATTACATCCCAAAGCATATATCAGGTAATTTCGCATCTTTAACATGTTGCTTGACAGTTTCTATGGCCTCAGATGTATCAGTTTCCTCAAATATCTGGCTTGTTACAGCAGATTTCATTTCCTTCAGTTTCACCTCAAATATTTTTTTCTCATTGTATTCAACCAGGGGCGTCAGCCCGCCCCTGCTGAAAATCAGCATAGTTAAACACGGGATCAGTCCCAAAATGTTCAAAGAAAACCACACCTATGTTGGCTCAATGCACTTCAAGAGGGGATGAATTGGAGTTCCAAAAATTTCTTCCTTTTACAACCATACAGCAAAAATAAAAGAGAGTAGGGAAGAGTTAAAATTGAAATTTACGCTACTGTAGAATTTTCCCAGATCACCAGCATTATCCAGATAAATCTTGACCACTGCATCAGCAAATGCTGCAGAGTCCAGGGAAGCAGCAATATTCCGTTTGCTGGCGTTAGGGTGCGTTTGATGTTATATTTGCAAGCTTTTTTATTTTTTAGCCAAACAATACTTTTAAATATAAGTGTGTTTAGTATTTTTTTAAATTATTTTATTAAAAAATTATAAAAAAACTACAATTAATTAACAATAATTATGTATGAAGCTAGAAACCTTATTTTGAAGTTTTATCACATTGGAGTTTTTTTGTTATAACTTTTACGAATAATACTTAATATTTAATATAATTATAAAATACATATTAAAACTCAATCTCATATAATTTGATTACATTATAATTCAAAATATTTTAATAATTATAATAAATCCAAAAAATCTAAATTATTAATAAATAGTAAATATTATTATTTTAATAATTATATATCTTATAATATTTTTAAATTTTAATTAATAATTAATAAAATCTACCTTATTTCATCTATAATATTTTTAAAAAATAAATAATTAAATATTAAAATAAATTTCAGTTATAGTTAGAATACAATTCAATACACAAAGCACTTCACAACAATCCTAATCGCACCCTTAATCCGTGTTTCGCTGCAGACAGATATAAAGAAAACACATACCAAGTTAAATAATGAAAAGCAACAATAGAGAGAGGTGCAATTCAGATTTTAAATCTTATATTTGTTAGTTAATATTTCTAATATCAGCAGGTGTTGTTAGACATTATAGCAGTCAAATTACCTCAATCTAAACATTACAAGACAAAACCAATTTCTACTCTATTGCTGAATGTACACAGCAACCACATAAATCACACTCACAGTCACTATTTGAAAAAGCATATGTATATGCGAAAGCAGACGCTTCAAATTTAGTATTTTAAAAACAACACTGTTGCAAAACACTAACTCTTCCCTTAAACAAATCAAGATTCTTGGTCTGACTCATAAGCAGAAACTAAACCGCAGCATAAAGGGTCAGAAATCAAACAAGAGTTCATTGCTAGAAGATTAAAATAAAGATTCATGACATTTGAGATATTGTAATTTAGTGTGATATTGTAATTTAGTGTATCGTTATTTAATTTGTTTTTATTTAAAAATTTATTTATAATACTATATATATT